CGTGCGGTCCGAGCACTCCTCTCCAGGCGGCGTGATCTGTGCCGACGCGGGCCACGCCACGTTACAAAGTGGCAGACAACGTAAACCGACTACAGTGCCGCATCTCAATCGCCTCCTGCACGCTGGCACCGTCGTTTCCGTTGAACGATCGCTGACCTGAATCCACCGATAAGCACCCGCTGTTTCAAGCCTTCTATTATCCACCGATGGTTATGAGTTCCTTCGACTAATTTCCTACCTAAGTACTTCAGTTTATCTTCCCTCCACAGTTCCAGCTGCTGTCATTCTTTTATTTGCTGTCGCATACTATTATGAGCAACCAAAAATAGTTGTGCCATTGAGCGAATGTAATACAAATGACCCCGCTCAAACGGTTTTGATAGAAGTTGCAACTGATAATCATGAAAATGGTGTATATATATGCCCATCTCCAATGCGCAGAGCAAGTGCGTGTGCTAAATAAACCCCGCTCGTCAAAAAAAGATAATGCTTATTTGGTGTACAATAACTGGCCTGTCTCGCGAAATTTGAACCGACCTTTTGGACTGAGTTTTCAGTCAGAAGGGTGGAGTTGTTATACTGATGTCCTTGCAACATAATCCTAAAATATTTCCCTTCGGCCTTCGTCTGATCTTCCTTCCGGTCGGTAAACAAATGACCGCTTAAAGAGTATGCTTTTTTCTATTTGTTTCCGGTGCCTTTCAAATATATTCTATAGAAAATGTGCACGAAATATTGTTTCTTGTTCTCCGATGGTAGAAAGTTGAACAAGCATTAACGTTCTTACACTCGCAGAAAGGTTGTTTTCGGTTTTGCATGGTTTTTAAGTAAGATATATCTAGGAAGCTTAAAAATCCTTACATATAACATGGTATCTGACCGTTTGTTGACGCTGCTTACGATGTATACAACATGCTGTACGTCTTTTAAACACTTAATGGGGCCAATATGTGCATAGATAGATGTATGGGAAATGGACAGTAAATAGTTTGGAAATCCTACGCACATATGCAACTGTCGGTCTGCTTCAGTGTCTCGCAAGCTGCAGAAGAGGAGATGACACATTTTCAGGGTAGATTGATACTGAACAGTTTCGAGCTTATTAGACTTCATTTAGTCAATCATACTCCTGGTATGCATTCGGTTTAAATGATGTTAGAATTGCGTTCCATCTACTGCACTATCTCTGCCCTCACCCAACTGAGGCCGGTGTAAAGACAGACGCACGAAAAACGGAAGCGGACTCAAACACAGGAGGCGGGAGACGCCATGCCTATCTCAGATGCCACGGAGTAGGAGTACCATAAGGGCCATGGTTGGCTGGTGCCTGAGTCTGCACCTACGCATGCCACCAATGTCTTCCGCCCATGTTCAGCATTTTTTATGGAAACCCAACTCGAATAATGCCTGTCATGCCCTGAT